TTTCTTCCCCAGTGATGCCAAGGTGAGCTTAGGACGTCTGCTTTTACTTTGTATCTTAACCTTATTCTTTATCCAAAGCCAAGAAGGACGATATGCAAGCTCGAAACCTAAAAAAAGACTGAATGAAGTTGGAATAATTAAATTGTTCAAATCAGATTATGGATGCTCACAAACTGGAAATACAGGATAATCCAAGAGACAATTTGACTGCTGAATGTTTGGTCATATATTTTAAAACTGTTTGTTCTTTTTGCTTCTTTCCTTAACCCATCCATCATTTAATGTCAATCAGATGTCGACGAGTGCAAAGATCCGAACATCAAATGCCAAGGGAAGTGTGTGAATCGACCGGGGTCATACCACTGCGTAGATCATAAGACCATCATCACAATAGGTATGTCATTGCATGCTCTTTTTCTCCTTGCTCACGTCATGTGACTATCTGTATATAAACCAATTTCGTCTGCACGAAGGTGAAAGATATTACCATCTCTACTCAATTTAACTATGCTTTCATAATCTGTGCATTCAACAATGCTTTTAACTCAATTATATTTTCCAATTCTATGCATTTAACGATTTGATTGAAATCTTCGTTTCTCACCCATACAAAATGCATAGTACTCGAGGGTCTCTCGAATTATTTTGTTAAGTGAATCTTCCTTTCTATTTTCTCTCTTCAAAGCAAGAAGGCACTTGTTCAAATTGGTGGAAGCAAATTCGTTGACGATGAAGGTGAAATTGGTTATGTAATTCTAGGGCGAAGAGAGACTCACAGAATGTTATCTAAAGCAACTGTAGTTATCTTTTTTTATGTGCAGGTATGGGCACTGGTGTCGGAGCCGTAGTATTACTTTTGCTTTCTTGGTGGTCATACAAGTTCATCAAAAGAAGGCGTGCGGCAAAGCTCAAGCAAAAGTTCTTCAAACGTAATGGCGGACTTGTATTGCAACAACGCCTATCTACTGTTGAAGACAATCACACAGCAAAAGGCAAGTTATTCTCCTCAATAGAGTTAGACACGGCTACGGACCATTTTAACGAGAACCGGATACTAGGTCAGGGTGGTCAAGGAACAGTTTACAAGGGAATGTTGACAGATGGAACGATCGTCGCGGTGAAAAATCCAAAGTTGTCGATGCAGGACAAGTCGAACAATTCGTCAATGAGGTCGTTATTCTCTCCGAAATCAATCACAGAAATGTGGTCAAGCTATTGGGATTCTGTCTAGAGAGTGAAGTTCCTCTTTTGGTATATGAATTTGTCTCCAATGGAACTCTTTACCATTATCTTCATAATCCATGTGGAGGATTTCCTGTGACGTGGGAGACGCGGTTAAGAATCGCCAATGAAGTTGCTGGTGCTCTTTTGTATTTGCACTTTGCTGCGTCCATCCCGATTTATCATCGTGATATCAAGTCGTCGAATATACTTTTGGACAAAAAATATCGAGCCAAAGTAGCAGATTTCGGAGCTTCCAGATCAATTACCATCGACCAAACTCACTTGACCACAAAGGTGCAAGGAACCTTTGGATACTTAGACCCAGAATACTTCCAAACAAGTCAATTTACGAACAAGAGCGATGTCTATAGCTTTGGGGTTGTCCTTGTCGAGCTACTAACAGGAGAAAAGCCAATTTCTCAATTGAGGGCGGAAGAGGGCAGAAGTCTGGCCATGTACTTCATCGTTTCGATGGAGGAGAACCGCTTGTTCAATATTCTTGATAAGGAGGTATTCGACCATAGTGAGAAAGAAGAAATTATTGCGGTGTCAAACTTGGCGAAAAGATGCTTAATCCTTCATGGAAGGTACAGGCCCACGATGAAGGAAGTGGCGATGGAATTGGAGCGAGTACAATCCGTCCGAAATCCCATGGCCGTCTGGCAAGATGATGAAGAGATCGACCGCATTAGAACTGGATCCATCCGTCCTTCGGGTGCGGTGTCCACATCGACGCGATCGGAAGCAGATGTGGAGCTGACTTTGTTGGAGGAGGATCAGTCCCTCTTTTACAATTTGTCCAGATGAAGATGCATTTCGTTGTTTGTGTCCCAGTTTTCTATGATGTGAAACATCCCAATCTCTCTATTTGCCCTTTATAAGTGAGTTACGGAATAATGATATACAACACTCGTGCACCCTTGGATGCACTCACTGTATATCTTGCATCATTATAGATTATATTATCTCTTCTTGATTTTTTGTTAGTCTGCTTGTCTTTTCACTGGGGTTTACTATCTATGTGACTCAGGCATATGCCTTTGGCAATGGTTGTCCATTTCCTTTTCCACTCCATTCTCTTGCTGACACTCCTAATGCACAACGCACCACACAAGCCACGGCGTCTCTAGCAAAGCCCGGTTGTTACCCATAGATATTGCAGAAACGTCGCAATTCCGATTCCTTTCCCGTTCGGAATCGGAGAAAACTGTTATCTCAACAAATGGTTCTAGATCAAGTGCGACTTTGAGCGGCCGTTCCAGGCGAGTGTGGGCTCGGATGTCCTGGAGATCACTCTGGGAGCTTATTGCGAAGGACAAGGCATCGTTCGCGTCCCATCTCCGATCATATACGTGAACTGCAGCAGCATGGGAAATACCTGTTAGCTTGGAAGGAAGTCCCTTTGTGTTTTCTCAGACCAAGAACAGCTTCGCCGCAATGGGTGGCACTACAATCGCGTTCTCGGGTGACACGGCGTCGACGGCTACCGGGCGCAAGTCGCCTGTCAGTTCGGCATCTTGTCCGTCCTAGCTAGGGAGATTAGTAAATGTTCGAGGAGAACTGTCAACATAAATTTTAACTCGACTAGCTAGAAACCTCCGCGATGCACTGAGTTACTTTAAAATGTGAACACAAAAATTTATAAAACCAAAAGTTTTTGTCAATTTTAGTTGTCAACGCATACATTCTCAAAGATTTATATAGTTTTCAAATTGGTTTGATCCTTCCCAATTATCTTGGCCAAAACTTCTATTGTTACTAAAAAATCTATCTCGAGTCTTCAGGTCTGAGACTGAAGTATCCGTTCTACTTGGAGAATATGCATATTTAATGAAGTAGGTGATGTCGTTTTAATTATCTTTAGACTAACATTTTTTATTGCTCGAAACCGTTTTGGAAAATGACTACCTGTCATCATAGTGCTTGAGCAGAGCTTTCTCCTCAAAGTTGGTTTCGAGGGGATTGAATGAATTGCGTGACATATTGTCTATTTCCTATTTTTTCAAAAAGAAAATGTTAAGGACCAATATATACACTTTTACATATCACATATACGCGAGACAATGAAAAAAAATGCCAGTCAAATTTGATTTCTCCGATATTTTTGTTTGGCAAAAATGAAGAACAAAAATCTTCTAGGAATATTTAGGACATTTCCTCTGATTTTTTATATCTCTTTTGATTATGCATATCATATTAGATTTCATTTGATTTTCTCTATCTAAGCCTATAAATAGGCTTTTTATGTACTCTTTTTAATATATCGAAATATATACAATTTCTCGCATTTCTCTCTTTCGCAATTCTTATATTTAACTTGGTATCAGAGCCTCTTTTCTTGAGGCAACTTAGTGCACCGGGTGCACTTCGCACCCGATGCACCTCACGCACCCCAGAAATTTCCCTAATCCTTTTTTTTCCGTTTTATCATTCTCAGCGCAGAATAAATCCATCCCCATCATTACTGTTCAATAGTGTTCACTTGGTGCCCACAAGTCTCATATGAGGAAGCACTTAATCGAGTCTGCATAGTGTTTCGATGCTAATCGCACTGATTATGTCACCCGTCGAGCCTTTTTCATGGAGGTGGCTTTCTTTCGATCTAGCCGCACAGGCCGCATCCAGTAACTCTTTTCCAAGGTAGCCGTATAGCTCGCTTGATGTTACGACGCCAGCCATATAGGCCGCATCGCTTAGTTACTGTTTCGCAAGCCAGCCGTTTCGGCCACTTGTTGTTTCCCCTCTGATTCTCGACCTTTCACGCATCATTTCGAGAAGCCAAAATCACCACCAGACTCGCTCAACTTCAGATAAGCCAGATGCGGCCTCACTCACCGCCCCGTCCCAGATTCACCAAGCCCGATGCCATGCAGTGTCGTTGGAAAAATAAGTTTTCGTGGCACTGTTCGACAATGATTCAAACTCAAGGTGACTTACTATGAGTTTGAGGGGGATGTTGAAGATATTTAGAAATCTACTAGGAATATTTCCTTTCATTTTCTATATCTCTTTTGATTATGCATATCAAATTTGATTTCATTTGATTTTCTCTATCTAAGCCTATAAATAGGCTCTCTATGTACTCTTTTCAATATATCAAAATATATACAATTTCTCACATTTCTCTCTTCCGCAATTCTTATATTTAACTCAAATAAAACTTAGTGACCACTACATTGTGATTTATCCATATGTCAATTAACTTTTGATAAGTTAATGTGTTTCGATGAATACAAATATGACCATGCAAGAGTTGTGGCATTCTTAGGATGATACTTACAAGAAACATCTGGGCGGCGATTATTGCGGGGTTCATGAAGTTATTGGAAAGTTTCCAAGATTTAATGCCTGACATTATGTTTAATGGAGAATATGACATACATTTGGGAATATGTTCAGAAAGCACATGCATACAAACTCAACTAATGATTGCATTGACGGACAAAAGTCACATAGCAGAGTCAAGTCAAGTAGTTTTTGTCGGGTGCTAACGCCCAGGGTAACTATATATATATATATATATATATATATATATATATATATATATATATATATATATATATATATATATATATATATATATATATATACAGAGAGAGCGCACCCGAGACTGAGAGGCATCATCAACCAACGACAGAGAGGAAGACGACGGTTGCGGGTGGACAAGTAGTGGCAGCGTCGTGGTATGATGTTCGTGCCCTCCAGCATTGGATTATTCGTTTAATGGAGAAGTGTTTGACAATTCAATAGCTAGCTCCAGGAGCAGACTGTGGAGGATGAACCGGGAGAAGATGATCCTGGCGACGTCCTCCTTTGTTCTTGTGCTTGTTTTTGCAGCAAACAGGTCAGCTGATGCTGCGGAACCACCTCCCTATAGTCTGGCCTGTCCAGGCTGTCTAGATACGTGTGGTAATTTTACAAACATTCCGTATCCTGGTGGAATTGGACCTATCTGCTTCTTGGATCCCCTGTACGAGATCAATTGCCAGCAAACCCACGGCATCTCTGCTCTGGTACTTAAGAATTTCAGCGTAGTGATGTTAGATATCCAGCTGCTGCAAAGTTTAGACTCCCTAGGCCTCATTAAGGTCAGACAGCCAATAACGTATTCACATCTTAATTGTTTGACCAACCAGCAAAACGACGCCCCAGTGGACTTATGAGGACATAACAAAGTTTTCAGGTACTCCCAGGCTGAAAACTATGTTGTTGCCGAATGTAGTGATATCCAAGCCTTGATGGTCATCAGTGATACCCCACAGCAGGTCATAGGATGCAGGTTTTCCTGTGGCAGAAACGGGACTCTTGGATTTTACCAGTGACTTACTGATTTCGATCACCAATGATATTGGCAAATACATAATGGAATTCAAGACTCTTGAGGGTGAAGCCATAGCGCCAGGGATGCAGAATGCAGGTACGCCTTCTTGGTCGAGGCTGCATGGTGGTTACAAGCCGATCTAGATAGTTTACCGCCGGATGTTCCGGTGTTGCTTGAATGGGTGATCACCCTGATATGAGGAAGAGCTGATGAGCAAACAAAGCAATAGGCGCCGTAATAATAACTCCGGCTCCTGCCAAGAGCTCAGTGGCTCTATAAGTTTATGTAAACAAGGCGCGTCTCCTGCCAAACGCTCGGGGGTTCTATTCGTATATCTTGTGCTTGCAATTGAGGCTACAAAGGGAATTATTTTCTTCCCCAGGGATGCCAAGGTGAGCTTAAAACGTCGCTTTTACTTTGCATCTTAACCATATTCTTTGTCCAAAGCCAGGGAGGACGATACGCAAGCTCGAAACCTACGAAAAGCCTGCGAATACAGTTGTAATAATTAAATTGTTCAAATCAGATGATGGATGCTCACAAATTGATAATATAATATAATCCATGAGAGAATTTGACTGCTGAATGTTTGGTCATATATCTTGAAATTGCTTGTTCTGTTTGCTTCTTTCGTTAACCCATCCATCATTTAATTTTAGTCAGATGTCAATGAGTGCAAAGAAGATCCGCAACATCAAATGCCAATGGAAGTGTGTGAATCGACCGGGGTCATATAACTGTGTAGACAAAAAAAATTAACACCGTGATAGGTACGTCACTACCTGCTCTTTTTTCTCCTACGTGCGTAACGTGACTGTCCGTATATACACCAATTTCGTCTGCATGAAGGCGAAAGATATTACCATCTCTGCTCAATTTGACCGTGCTTTCATAATTTGTGCATTCAACAGTGCTTTTAACTCAATTATATTTTCCAATTCTATTCATTTAACAATTTGATCGAAATTTTCGTTTCTCACCCGTACATGATGCATCGCACTCGAGGGTCTTTCGAATTATTTTGTTGAGTGAATCCTCCTTTCCATTTTCTCTCTTCAAACCAAGAAGGCACTTGTTCAAATTGGTGGAAGCGAATTCGTTGACGATGAAGGTGAAATTGGTTATTGAAATCCTAGAATGAAGAAAAACTCTCATAATGTCATCTTTTTTTTAACACGGGTATGGGCACTGGTGTCGGAGCCGTAGTATTACTCTTGCGCTTTTCTTGGTGGTTGTACAAGATCATCGAAAGAGGGCATGCGGCAAAGCTCAAGAAAAAGTTCCTCTAACGTAATGGCGGACTTGTGTTGCAACAACGCCTATCGGCTCTGATGGACAGGAGCGAAAAGTATGCAAGCTAAAAGGATAAATCTATGGCTTAAAGCGGGTTCTCATGAAGACAATCACATCACAAAAGGCAAGTTATTCGCCTCAACAAAGTTCGACACGGCTACGGATCATTTTAACGAGATTCGAATAATGGGTGAGGATGGCCAAGGAACATTTTACAAGGGAATATTGACAGACGGAATGATCATTGCAATTAAGAAATCCAAAGTTATTGATGCGGAACAAGTCGAACAGTTTGTCAATGAGATCCTTATTCTCTTCGAAATCAATCACAGAAATATGGTCAAGCTATTGGGATTCTGTTTGGAGAGTGAAGTTCCTCTTTTGGAATATGAATTTGTCTCCAATGGAACTCTCCACCAATATCTTCATAATGCATGCAGAGGATTTCCCATGTCATGGAGACACAGTTAAGAATGGCCAATGAAGTTGCTGGGCTCTTTCGTATTTGCACTTTGCTGGTTACCCAATACGCCCTAAATAAACAATCACGAAAAAGAAACAGCAATATATCATGCACTTACTCGTGTATAATAGAAGTTATTGTTGCATGGTCTTATATGTGGTGACTCCTATTCTATAACTTATGGAAAGTATTAAATTATGACTCGAGTTTGAGCCGTTTATGGAACGCGACTCGCTTGGATAAATTTCCATAGTTGACTGTGAAGATAACTTTTCTATTGGAGATAATATTGAAGATTGCTCACGAAAGGAAATCCTCTCCAAGTACGTACCGTAGACGTCTTCAGCAAAAAGGGCATACTAAAGGACGAAATAGGGGTACCTTTAATAAATATATTAAAGGTTTATTTTATGGAGCAAAGAAACAACAAAAGGGAAGTTCTGCTCACGTTATGCGAAGTTTTGCTGATTTGTATCAGAAGGACTTTCTTGTCTTTTTGGTTCTGACGAAAAGGGTTTGTTCTGGAGAGGAATAAAAGGGCACGCGTCTTGTTCAATGAAAGTGAGCCGCCGTATAGAGAAGTCCTCTACAGAGCCGTGAGAACAAAAGAAAGCAGAATGCACAAATGTTCTCAAGGCTCGGCCGCACGAAGAGATCCAAATTTGTTCGGGGAGTTTATTTCGTCCAATTAAGTTGTTTATTCGTAAACACTTTGGGTTTGAACTTAAATTTAGGTGTGAAAAACACTCGAGCGTATGAGCGAATTGTAACTCTGATTCTCCGATTATAGTGGATTATTTGTTGTTGGCTCCCCTCGTGGATGTAGGTATCGATATTCGGATAGAATCACGTAAATCTACAGTGTCGTTTCTCGTTTCTTGTTTGTTTCCTACGAGTATTTACGCATTGACTTAATTTGCAAGATCCCGCATCATTTCCTCGTTATATTGCAACAGAAAGCTTCATATTTAAGCCATATATGACATATAAGAAAATTGATATATTCAATGAAAAAACTTGGTTTTGCTAAATATTGTATCGAACATGCCTAATTGAATAAACGGTGTATGCCCGACTTAATGTTAGAAGATCATATCTTAATCGCGCTAAAGCAAGAGTCCGGCGGTAATTTTAAATACATGTTAATGCGAGAGGTACTGGGGTAACTTTATCACATCCGTAATATATTTTAAGAATAGAAATAAATTAGCGGAAATTGTTCGTAGGGATAATAAAAGTCGGAGTCGGGGCAACCCGAAATTCAGTGATTTCGTGAAGAGCAAAATATACTTGGTGACCGGTATATTGCGATTCATCCCATATGTCAAATCGCTGTTAATATGTTAATGTTATTTCGAAGGATACAAATGCAATAGTACAAGAGTTTTGGCATTCTTAGGATGATACTTAGGAAGTTTCATGCCTGGCGTTTTGTTTGATGGAGAATATGACATACATTTGCAACAAAACATATTTAGCAGGAAATAGTCCACCAACGATGGCAACGATGGACAAACGGCAGAGAGCAGAGTCAAAGTCAAGCAGTTCCGTTGAGTGCTAACTGCCAGAGTGAATAAAGACAGAGAGAGAGAGAGAGACAGAACACCCGAGAGGTGTTTGACAATTTAATAGCTAGCTGTAGGAGCAGACTGTGGAGGATGAATCGGGAGAAGATGAACCTGGCGACGGCCTTCTTTGTTCTTGTGCTTGTTTTCACGGCGAACCGGTCAGCTGATGCCGTAGAACCGCCTTCTCGAAGTCTGGCCTGGCCAGGCTGTCCGGACACATGCGGCAATCTAACAAACATTCCGTACCCTTTTGGAATCGGACCCGGCTGCTTCTTGGATCCCCAGTACGAGACCGATTGCCAGCAGACCAGCGGCATCTCTATTCCGGTACTTAAGAATTTGAGCGTGGTGGTGTTAGATATCCGGCTACCGCAAAGTTCATACTCCCCAGGGGTCATTAGGGTCAGCCAGCCGATATCGTATTCCCATCTTAATTGTACGACCAACCAGCAAAACCCAGTGGACTTAACAAGAAGCTTTTTCTGGTACTCTCAGCATGAGAACTTTTTTGTTGCGGGAGGTTGTGACACCAAGGCCTTGATGTCCATCTATCATACCGAAGGGGTGGTCGTAGAATGCAAGTCTTCCTGTGGCGGAAACAGGACTCTTGGGTATGACCACTGCCATACCGGTAACGGTTGTTGTACGATTTCAATCAACAATGATATTAGGAAATACAACGTGACATTCAAGACTCTCAAGGATGAAGCCATAGCACAAGGAGATGCAGAATGTAGGTACGCATTCTTGGTTGAGAGTGGATGGTGGCATCGAGCTAAATTGAACAGTTTACCACCGGACGTTCCGGTGATGCTCAAATGGGCGATTAGCCCATATGAGGAATACCTGCTGAGCAAACAAAGCAATAGGCGCGGCAATGACATTTCCGGCTCCTGCCAGCAGTACTTGATGCAAAAGTTGGATCTTCGAGTATGTTCTTGCAATCAAGGCTACAGAGGGAATTATTTTCTTCCCCGTGGATGCCAAGGTGAGCTTAGAATGTTCGCTTTTACTTTGTATCTTAGCCTTATTCTTTATCCAAAGCCAGGTAGGACGATATGCAATGCTCGAAACCTATGAAAAGCCTATGAATACAGTTGCAATAATTAAATTGTGCAAATCAGATGATGGATGCTCACAAACCAGTAATACAGGAGAATCCAAGAGAGAATTTGACGGCTGAATGTTCAGTCATATATCTTGAAACTGCCTGTTCTTTTTCTTTCTTTCCTTAACCCATCCATTTTAATATTGATCAGATATCGATGAGTGCAAAGAAGAACCAAACATCAACTGCCGAGGGAAGTGTGTGAATCGACCGGGGTCATACTACTGCGAAGACAATAAGACCATCACCATTATAGGTACGTCACTGCCTGCTCTTTTTTCTCCTGCTCACAGAATGTGACTCTGTATACGCCAATTTCATATGCATGAATGCATATATTACCATCTCTGCTCAACTTAACTGTGCTTTCATAATCTGTGCGTTCAACACTGCTTTTAACTCAATTATATTTTCCAATTCTATGCATTTAACAATTTGATTGTACCATCGTTTCTCACCCATAAAAGACGCACAGTATTCAAGAGTCTTTCGAATTATTTTGTTGAGTGAATCCTCCTTTCTATTTTCTTTCTAAAGCAAGAAGACACTTGTCAAAATTGGTGGAAGCTAATTTGTCGACGATGAAGGTGAAATTGCTTATGTAAATCCCAGAGTCAAGAGAAACTCTCTGAATACTGTCTGTTAGGTTCCTAAAGCAATTGCAGTTGACTTTTTTTTACACAGGTACGGGCACCAGTGTCGGAGCCATAGTATTACTTCTTCTTTCTTGTTGGTTGTACAAGTTCATCAAAATAAGGCGCGCTGCAAAGCTCAAGCGAAAGTTCTTCAAACGTAATGGTGGATTTGTGTTGCAACAGCGCCTATCTTCTGTTGAAGACAATCACACAGCAAAAGGCAAGTTATTCACCTCAGCGGAGTTAGACACGGCTACCGACCATTTTAACGAGAACCGGATACTGGGTCAGGGTGGTCAAGGAACAGTTTACAAGGGAATGTTGACAGATGGAACGATCATCGCAGTGAAGAAATCCAAAGTTGTCGATGCAGGACGAGTCGAACAGTTCATTAATGAAGTCGTTATTCTCTCCGAAATCAATCACAGAAATGTGGTCAGGCTGTTGGGATTTTGTCTGGAGAGTGAAGTTCCTCTTCTCGTATATGAATTTGTCCCCAATGGAACTCTTTACCATTATCTTCATAATCCATGCGGAAGATTTCCCGTGTCATGGGACATGCGATTAAGAATCGCCAATGAAGTTGCTGGGGCTCTTTCATATTTGCACTTTGCTGCGGCCATCCCAATTTATCATCGTGATATCAAGTCGTCGAACATACTTTTGGACGAAAAATATCGAGCCAAAGTGGCTGATTTCGGAGCTTCCAGATCAATTACCATCGACCAAACGCACTTGACCACAAAAGTGCAAGGAACCGTCGGATACTTAGACCCGGAATACTTCCAAACAAGTCAATTTACAGATAAGAGCGATGTCTATAGCTTCGGGGTTGTCCTTGTTGAGCTACTAACGGGAGAAAAGCCAGTTTCTCAATTGAGGGCGGAAGAGGGCAGAAGTCTAGCCATGTACTTCATCATTTCGACGGAGGAGAACCGCTTGTTCGATGTTCTTGATAAGGAGGTATTAGACCATGATGAGAAAGAAGAAATTATTGCGGTGTCTAACTTGGCAAAAAATTGCTTAAACCTGCAGGGAAGGTACAGGCCCACAATGAAGGAAGTGGCGATGGAATTGGAGCGAGTACGATCCCTCCGAAATCCCGTGGTTGTCTGGCAAAATGACGAAGAGATCGACAGCATCAGAGCTGGATCTATCCGTCCTTCGGGTGCGGTCTCCGTATTGACGCGGTCGAAAGCAGATGTGGAGCTAACTTTGGTGGAGGACGATATGTCGCTCTTTTACGATTTGCCGAGATGAAGATGCATTTCGTTGTTTGTGTCCCAGTTTTCTATGATGCGAAACATCACAATATCTCTATTTGCTCTTTATAAGTGAGTTACAGAATAATGATATACTGCACTCGTGCACCCTTTGATACACTCACTGTATATCTTGCATCATTGGAGATTCTATTATCTCTTCTTGATTTCTTGTTAGTCTGCTCTAGCTTTTCAATGGGCTTTACTATCAATGTGACTCAGGCATATGCCTTTGGCAATGGTTGTCCATTTCCTTTTTCCACTCCGTTCTCTTGCTGACACTCCTAATGCACAACGCACCACACAAACCACGGCGGGTCTAGCAAAGCCCCGTTGCCGGGCGCAAGCCGGTTCGCGACGAAGGTTAAGTCGGTTCGGCATCTTGTCCCTCCTAGCTAGGGAGATCACTAAATGTTCGAGGAGAACTCTCAACATAAATTGTGATTCGACTAACCAGAAACTAGTCTAGAAGCGATGCACTGAGCTACTTTGAAATTTGAACACATAATTTATAAAATGGGATTAATAAAACGATAATAATTTACACTTGTGACTTTAGCAGTGATCTAAATAATTTAGCGTAAATCATAAAAATTCTCAATGGTTTCCAAAAATTTGGAACATATCTTATTTAATTTTTATGCGGGAAAATATTTTTCTTTAACTTTGATGATTTCTATATATTGCTAATTGTTTTTTTTATATGTTCTTCGTATTTTTATACATTCTTTTTGTTTGCGCAAAAAAAAAAGAGGATCTCGGAGACGAAGGATGAGAAACCAAACTACTTGGGGTGCGCATGATAACCATTCTGTTCCGGAATGAGTTCCTGAACCAGAAATAGATTTTTCTATTTCTGGTTCCTGGATGAGTTTCTGAGAAAAAAAACCCGTTTGATAACGACCAAAAATTTCTATTTCTAGAACAGAAACCCGTTTGATAACAGCACAAAATTTCTATTTCCTGAAACAAAAACCAGTTTGATAAACAACAGAAAATTCTATTTCCAAGAACAGAAATCCATTTTTTTAGAAATGGAATAAAAATAATTAAAAAATCCGAAAAATTCATAAAAATCTCAAAAAAAATCAGAAAATCCCAAAAAATTGAAAAATTCCATAAAAAATCATCAAAATGTCAAGAAAATAAAAAAAAATTCAGATTTAGGGAAAATAGGAAATTTATTGAATTTTTTCAAAAAAAATCAAGAAATCAAAAATTTCAAAACTTCACAGAATTGCTTAGAATACTTGTAGCCACCCACTTTGAGTAAAATTTAAATTTTTTGAGGTGCCCAAAAAAATAACAAAAAATTTCAAAATATCACAAAATGGCTTAGAATACCTGTGGCCACCCACTTTTTGAGTAAATTTTAATTTTTTTGAGAAACCCAAAAAAAATTTAAAAAAATTAAAATTTTCAAAACTTCACAGAATGGCTTAGAATACCTGTGGCCACCCACTTTGAGTGAAATTTTAATTTTTGGAGGTGAAAAAAAAGCAAAAAATCAAAAATTTCAAAACTTCACAGAATGACTTAGCATACATGTGGCCATCCACTTTGAGTGAAATTTAAATTTTTTTAAGTGAAAAAAAACATAAAAAATCAAAAATTTCAAAACTTCACAGAATGACTTACAATACCTCTAGCCACCCACTTTGAGTAAAATTTAATTTTTATTAGATGCCCAAATGGTATTTTTTTTTTGGTTCCTAAAGAAAATTAAATTTCACTCAAAGTGGATGGCCACATGTATTCTAAGCCACTCTGTGAAGTTTTGAATATTTTTCTTTTTTGCTTATTTTTATTTTTTTTTCTACACCTAAAAAAAATTAAATTTCACTCAAAGTGGGTGGCCACAGGTATTTTAAGCAATTATGTGAAGTTTTTTTATTTTTTATTTTTTTATTTTTTTCGGCACCTAAAAAATTTTAAATTTCACTTAAAGTAGATGGCCACAGGTATTCTAAGCCATTTTGTGAAGTTTTGAAATTTTTTATTTTTTTATTTTTTTTTATTTTTTTCGGCAACTAAAAAAATAAAATTTTGCTCAAAGTGGGTGGCCACAGGTATTTTAAGCAATTCTGTAAAGTTTTGAAATTTTTACTTTTTTGCTTATTTTTATTTTTTTTGGCATATAAAAAAATTTAAATTTCACTCAAAGTGGGTGGCCACAGGTATTTTAAGCTATTCTGTGAAGTTTTGAATTTTTTTATTTTTTATTTTTTTCGGCACCTTAAAAAATTTAAATTTCACTCAAAGTGGATGGCCATAAGTATTCTAAGCCATTCTGTGAAGTTTTGAAATTTTTGATTTTTTGCTTTTTTTATTTTTTCGGCATCTAAAAAAATAAAATTTCGCTCAAATTGGGTGGCCACAGGTATTCTAAGATATTCTGTGAAGCTTTTAAATTTTAGAATTTTTTATTATTTTTTATTATTTTTTGGCAAATAAAAAAATTAAATTTTGCTCAAAGTGGGTGGCCATAGGTTTTCTAAGCCATTTTGTGAAATTTTGAAATTTTTTGTTTTTATTTATTTTTTTCGGTACCTAAAAAAATTTAAATTTCACTGAAAGTGGGTAGCCACATATTCTAAACCATTCTGTTAAGTTTTGAAATTTTTGATTTTTTGCTTTTTTTTCTCACCTCAAATATCGTGATTTCCATATGAATATGTGTGTTGAAGAAAATAAATTCCTCAGAAATGGTTCTCACTTTTGTTCCAGAAATGAAAAACCAACTTTTTTTTTGTTCTCATTTCTGGTTTCAGAATCAGTTTTGGAAGCAAACTTGTCCCGGAAATAGAAAAATGAAATTGCGTTACCAAACGGGTTTCTGGTCCAAAACTGATTCTGGGAACAAAAAATTAGTTATGGACAGAACCATAATAGTTTTCATGCAACACCTTGGAGGATGCCACCGGAGGGGCGGCACGAACTCAACACGGATGGAGCAGTCGTGGGGTTTTCAAGTGCAGCCGGAGGAACATTACGAGATGACGGCAGAAGCCGGGTGGTTCGGTTCTTTGAATCAGTGTGAAGGATGTCGCCGGTTATCGTCGAAGCTTCGGCTTTAAGCAAGAGATTCGAATTTGCCGGTTAACGTAGGAGCGAGGAGCGAACCGTCCTGAAATAGAATTAGATGCTACTCTCTTAGTGAATAGTTACTACCTTGCATAATGAGAAGAGCATGAATAGAAACTTAGGGTGCATTTGTTTTGGTGAAATTGTTTTCCGGGAAAGTGTATTCCGGACTTTCATTCGTTTGGTTGTCCGAAAATGATTTGGTCAACCGAAAACACTTTCCGGTTAAATAAATCATTCATATATAAATTTAGAAAAGTGAATTCCTTACTTTAAGAAGGTGAAAATACTTTCCGGAATTGATTATCTTAAATTTATTAATATTTTAATTTTCTTTTCTGTTTTCTTTTTTTTTCATTTTCTTTTTTTCTTTTTTTTCTTTTTCCGTCTTCCTCCCTCCGTCGGTCGGCGACTGGCCACAAGCGCGGGCCGGCGACGACCCGCCTCAGGTGAGGCCGAGCTCACCAGCCTCAACACAACGAGCTTGAGTCTCACCGACCTTGAGCGAGGTCGAGTCTCGCCGGGATCTGGCGACCTCGAGCTCGCCAGCGTCGCATGAGGCCCGACCTCGCAGCCTCCACCTCGCCTCCACCTCCCGGTGAGCTAGGGCTCAAACAAGGCTGACGAGCTCGTGGCTCGCCAGATCCAGGCGAGCCCAAGCTCGGCTCACTAGATCCAGGCGAGCTCGGGCTCCGCCAAGGTCGGCGGGCTCGCGGGTCGCCCAAGGCCGTCGCCAGGGTGTCGCCGGCCGGTTGCGACAGAGGAAGAAGGAGAAAGAAAAGGAAAGAAAACAAAAAAGGAAAGGAAAGAGAAGAAAAAAGAAAAAAATGAATAAAAATTCGAATTTTTTTTAAAATAAAAAAGAAATTAAAAATGATTAAAAAATCTATTTTTTAAATAAAAATAATTTAAAAAATTTCAATTTTTTTTTCCTGAGATAAAATCATGAGATTAAAATCATTTTCCAATAAAATCCAACTATCAGAAAACGATATCGATTACATATTACTAAACGAAGGAAAACGAATCGTTTTTCTGAAAAATGAATTTCTAGAAAACATTTTTCAAAAACGTTATGTTTTCGGTAAAATAAACGCACCTTTACATTCACTGTTGCATCAATGCAATGAGTTGCTAAAGCCGATGGAATACTGAAGGACATTAGGACATTGCTGTTCTTGATCATATGTTGAACTAGGAAAAATTGCATGGGATGTCCTAAATCTTGTGTATGAAATGTAATCAAGTCCCAAATCTTTCAATTGATTTAATCAAGTCCTTTCGACGAACAATATCTAAAATTGAATGCGCGTCACTCAAAAAGTGCTTATATGATGTTCTTAAATTTACTTAATTGTATTTTTCAACAAAAGTCGAGGACTTAATTGAATGAATTGAAATGTTTAGGACTCGAATGTACTTTTTTAATATAAAAATTTAGGACTCGAATGCACAAAACAAGACTTGCGGTGCAATTTCCATTGTGAATAGAAGAAAATAAAAGGGATAATGACAAAATGAATCCCCGAATTTTGGCTCAATTTACAATGTAGTTCTTAAACTTTTAATTTATTCTATATGGTCATTGAATTTTAGCACAATGTGCAATGTGGTCCGTGAACTTTTCATGGACTTTTGATGCATGTTCCACTCAGACCCTAAATTACATGAAATTATTCAATGTTGACCCTTTATCAATTCAAGTTCAGAGACAACACCGAACATTTCATATAGTTCAGGAACTAAGCTGATCATGTACCAAAATTCGAGAAATCATATTGAACAAATTAAAAATCCAGAGATCATATTGAACATCAAGCCAAAGCTCATAAATCATTTGCCTCATTTTCCCAAAACAAAAGGACGAGAAATCCTCTATTTACCGAAAAGAAAATAAAAGGAAAAAATAAAAATAAAAACAGAAGAAGAAGGAGAAGAAGAAATGAGCGAGAAGAAGAACCCCGGCCGGATCGAGCTAAAACCCTAGTCGCCGCCGCCGCGCCTCTGTTGAGAAAAAAAAATGAACTGAGGGAGGAAGAAGAAGAAGAAAACCAGAAGGAGAGCAATGGCGAACCGGCGATGCCTCCAGGCGCTGACCCGCCACGCCACGCCTCTCTCCTCGTCGCTCCGCCGCCGCCTCACGACTCCGCCGGCCGCCGCTCCGCCTCCTCCCAGATCGCTCCTCGAAGCTCGGCCGGCGTCGCCCGGTCTCGAGCCGAGCCGGTGCCCTCTATGGCCGCCGCGGGCGCGTCTCTTCTGCTCCAACAGGACGAGCGAGGACGACGACGAGGACGACGAGGACGAGGACGAGGACGAGGGCGATGAGTCGGACGGCGAGGGAGGCGAGGTGATGGAGGAGAGCGATTGCGAGACCGGCAAGGCCTCGTCGCGTTCCAAGTGGGATTACACGGCCGAGGAGATGGAGGCCGAGGCCGCCGCGATTGGGTACACGGTGATGGGCCCCCTGGAGAAGTCGGACCGGGTTTTCACGCCTTACGAGCCGGTTTTCGCCGTCGTTCAGGTTCGGCGATCCGTGCTGGTGTTCGAGAGAGTGAAATGAGATGCGTGTTGGTGCCTGTTTGTTTGCGTTTTTGTTTTGGTTGTATTTATAAGTGTTTAGCTGCTAGGCTCGTGGTGTGTAGATTGGTTCGCACCAGTTCAAGGTGAGCAATGGGGACTGCATTTTCACGGAGCGGCTCAAGTTCTGCGACATCAATGACAAGGTACGTTGCAGGCTGATGAATGTTGCCCACGAATCAAATCTTGATGTGGGTATTTTGATAAGTCATTGTGCTGCTAATAATCTGCTAGGTTGCTGTCTCTTCGTCTATTTACCGTTCTCGCGTGATGTTGGTTACTACTGAGAATGTTGCTTGAAGCGCTAGTTCCTATTGAATTGTCTTTACCAGTCTCTGTTGGAGTTCCAATTGATCGTGTATCAAGTCTATAGTCAGCTTTTGAGTGGTGCTGATGTTTACAGCGGGAATGAAATTGTTTTGAGTGGTGTTGATGTTTACGGCGGGAATGAAATTGTATTACGGAAGAATTTTCTTGAACGGATATACAAGGTTCGACTTTTTCAGAACTCAGTAACCACCACTGAGAGAATATGGAAAAGACAGTTCTTTTCTTTTCTTTCTGTATCAATTAGTATTCAGCTTGTACCTAGCCTTCGATTTTCTTGATGTAGTAGAGTAGTTGTTTCTTTTGGTTCTGGCTCATTCTCTTCTGCTCATTTGGCCTCAAAATACTCGGCGGTAGCTCATTATTTACTTATACTACAACAAAATGTGAAGTGTTATGCTTTGGGTTGGTCCATAAAACCATCAAACGTCTCATTGGAGTTCACCTTCCGTTAAATCTGGAAATGCTGTGGGACAGTTGCCATGTAGAGTAGCCCTTTCGATCTTCCATTAACAGGGTGTATATATATGCTTGTTCCTTCTGGTTCCATACCCATTCTTTTAGAAGTGCCTTATTCACTCAAGTAAATGGGGCAAATTGCCTGCACTTTCTTTTTCGCATTAATGGAAGCCTGTATTCATGATTGCATTGCTCTTCCTTGAAATTTAGGATGTGCCGAATTATTATCTGTCCCTTATGGATGATAGTGGGGAATTTACTTTGGACTTGTGCTTCGTTTTTAAACTTGTGCCTGCCCATAAATTATTCTACTAGCAATATTCTACACCTAGGTTGCCTAGTTTTCTCTTTTCTTCCTCCTTTGTCCAATTGAATTGCATAGTTAATGCTTAGAACTTTTTATGTGATGCAGTTGATTTTGAACAAAGTTCTACTGCTCGGCTCACAGACTCAGACAATTGTTGGCAGACCGACAGTTCCAGATGCAGCTGTGCATGCAGTCGTCGAGGAGCATGTGAGTTTTGCATCATCATCACCCACTTTCATACTACATCCAAAAAAAAAAAAAAAAAGGAGACAAAACCAAGAGATCATCCTGTGCTTATTTGGCCTTCCAAAGAAATGGCGTTGAATACTCAAATGATTTTGAGAAGTGTGAACTTAAGTTCCAAGAATTAGCATGTCTTCTGTAAATGATCTGTTGAGCTGAGTTATGTGCGAAATTTTGTTTGGTTGTGATACTTTGTCAGATCCGTAACAGGTGAAGACTTATCTGATTTGCCTTTTGTCTAGAAGTTCTTAATTGGAATGAGAAATTATCAGACCCATACAACATGACCATCTAATTGTGGGATGAAAGAAACTTCCTCTTATACAGAATTTTTTGCTATTTAGTCATATATGGGGCATTGTTCCACTGACAACATTTTTACTTGCTTTTTCTACTTACTGCCCTGTCCAGTAAGAATTGAATCCCTTCTATAAGTCAGGATATCATCTTTTTCCCCATCATATGACGGCTAACTCTTTCTTTTCATTTAATACTTCAGGCATTAGATGCAAAAGTAATTATTTTTAAGAAAAAGAGGAGGAAGAACTACCGGCGAACCAAAGGACACCGACAGGTACATCATAGATCAGCAGATGAGAAATTTCTTTTTTTTTTTTTTTGGTCAGAGCAGATGAGAAAATTAATGTTTCGCTCTTCATTCACCTTCTGGTACTTTCTCCTGACCCATCTTTTTTTTCCTTAGGAACTCACCAAGTTGAGGATAACTGACATTCAGGGAATTGCGAAACCTGAGAAGACAGACGATGAGAAACCTGTAAAATCAGCAGTTAAGAAGTCGGAGAAGGTTGCTGTTGCAGCATAGGATCATATTTTTCCATGGTCATTTCCCAATAATGGTTCCGATGCTACTTCTGCATCATAAGCACCAGTTGGACATGCTGCATGCTCAATGTATTGTCTGAAAGGATTTGCCTGCCAAGTGCCGAGCACCTTTTAAGATGTGGTAATACCATCATAGCACCAATAGTACATGCTTTGAGTCTCCGAGCACCTTTTAAGACCTGGTCTAATCCTGAATTCCTCCAGATTGAAGTAATTTTTCTAGGATCATGAGAGCATTGATCTTGCTTCTTATCTGGATATGACTGATGAATCACATGTGGCAAGAGATCTTGAGTTTAGATTGCTGCAAGGCATCAGGGTAGAGCTTTTCTGTACCTCATTTAATGGATCGAATGCTTCTTATTATTTTGATTTTTATGTATTGCAATGTAGTGGGGATAGTTTTGATTCAATCTGCTTGATATTTGGGGTTCATAAAGGAGGCATTGCCTTATCAGTAACTCCTTAGAGAGATGCGTGGTGCTGCTGGGTTCCAAGCTGCGAAACAGTTTTTCTTTTGGTCGAAAGCTGCAAAACAGTTTAGTGAGTAAAAATAATGCAAGAGATTGTTGCCCTAACTTGTATTAGATTTGTTAACATAGATGTGTGCGATTGTTGCTAGTTTAAAGAAAGACTAATGTATCATATCCGAAGAGGATACAGTGGATGTGCTCTAACGGGTATTTATATTTGTGATGATGAGACCGCTTCACAGAACGCCTGGTCGACAGATAATCTATTTCATCATAGATCATGTCATGTCGAAGAATAGGCTGGCGATCCATATACATAGTTACATGGCTTCATGGGAAACTGAAATCGTGTCGTGCATTGTAAATTATAGATCGATCCCGATACAAAAGAGCCTTCGATACGATTCGAACAAAGCACGGTACGTGTAAATGATGTGGGTACTGTTGTATTCGGGAGGACGTAATGTAGTAACTCTCAGATCAGCGGTCGCGCCCATGAATGCAAACGCGACCCTGTCGTCTGAGCAGAAAACAAGGAAGCATCCTCATTTTCCTCGTCGCCCAAATTTCCAATTTGCATGAACGTACCGTCGAAGGTGCTCTCGTTGACCCGGAAATTCATTTATTACGGTTTGGATTTCATCGTCACGTTCTTGTTTCGATGATCACAACGCCAATCTTGACATTGTCCTCTATTTCGATTCTTGCTATGATCACTTTTGGAATGAGCTTTGTACCTTTTTTTTGGGTTTCTACGGCTTGGGACAGGAAAGCTTGTGGGAAAAATAGAAACTTTTGTCCCCTTACTTTTCTTGAAAAATAGACATCCCTTTTTTCAGGAAAGATCTCGCGATGCGATCAAATTACATGTCGATTAGCTTTGTGCACAAAGCAAGCATTTTGCCGAGTGCGTTCGACACATTAAATATTGTCGGAACATAAACAGATATTATCAACGAGTGTCCACTAGTTCATATTACTTATACAGGAAATGTTTCGATTTCAAAATGCACTAGTCACACGTAACCCGAAAAAGATAACATATTAACAATCATAGACTTTTCTGAAATGGGTATTTGATAAATGCCCTTCGGGACATCCGTGATCAAAATCTATAATTACCTTTGGTCATTAGTAAATGTTTACTTACGCATAAGGACATAAAAAAAAACAATAAATAGGAGAAAAAAATACCCTTTATGAGGGAGTGAAAATAGGAAAGAAATAAAAGAAAAATTAAACTAGACTAGGGTTTTTTTGCATTTGTAATTGGGACAATGACATAAATAGTCCCTGAACTTTGGCCCAATGTGCAATATGATCCTTGAACTTTTAATTTGTTTGATGTAGTGCTTGCACTTTAACCTAATGTTCAATATAGTCCCTGAACTTTTAATTTGTTCAATGTGGTTCCTGAATTTTTTGTACATGTTTAATGTAGTCCCTGAACTATAATGAAAATGTTCAATATAGTCTATGAACTTGAATTAAATAAGGATTATATTGAACATTTTCATATAGTTTAGGGATTAAATTAAATATGTACCAAAAATTCAAGGACGACATTGAACAAATTAAAAGTTCAGAGATCACGTTACACATTGGGTTGAACTTCAGGAACAACATTGAACAAATTAAAAGTTCACGAATTATATCGTAAATTGCACCAACGTTCGAGGACTGTTCGTGTCGTATTCCCTTTGTAATTTCCCATTCCTCTCTCACCTAGCCGGCCCAAAGACTCTTTGCCTTTTCGGCTCTCCAAAACGTAAAACCCAATGTGGCCAAAAGGTTCCTACAAGGACGGAAAGCTTCGTTCCTTTCCTGGGTTTTACTCCGGCATTTCTTCAAACACCTTCCCTACAACAATGGCGTCTTGACCCCCCACGGATGCGCCGTCGCCCCTCGGTGTCGCCATCTCTCCAGCCAGTAGCCACTGCCCACATATCTCGTCAACTCCCGTCCTCCGGCACAAGCCATGGAGCCCGCATTCCCCCGCGACCTCCTCCTCTTCGCTGTCGCCGGCTTCCTCGCCGTCGCCGCGTCCACCGCGAGGATCCACTCCGGGAACTTCGATCCCTACTACGTCGACCACTGCGGCGGCGTGGTCCCTCCGCAGCCCCCGATCGCCCCCGAATCGGCCAGCGCTTACGCCAAGCTCCTCCAATTCCGCGGCGGGTACTTCTCGGCCGACGGCCCGGGGGCGGGGTCCGGGTCCGGCCATGATTTGCGGAGGACGGTGACGTTCACTCCCATGATGATGTACAAGACCGAGTCCGAGGACGTGATCAATCTGCAGGGGACACTTTTTTTCGTGGACCCCAATGTGAATGCGATCTTTAGGAATCCGAGGAGCCGGAGATTGCGCGAATTTCACGTCCGCGGGCCGAAAATCCCCGTCAGGCGGGGTATGGCGAAGTTCAGGCTTCATGGGTACTGGTCTAGATCTTCAGGTAAGCTTTGCATGGTTGGATCTAGCGTGATTTTTCCCAACCGTAGTTTCGATGCCGTTTTCAAGCTGAATTATCCGCTGAAATTGAGTATTAACAGTAGTTTCGTTAGTGGGGTTTTGGAGAGCTTGGGTGGTGGTGCTGGTGGTGTAGATCACTTTGGGACTGTTTCTGTACTGGCTTTGAGCAGTAAAAGTGTTGATTATGAGTATAGTTTGATTGAGAACGAGGGAGGGAACGGGTCTTTTGGTGAATTTGATGATGGTGGTGGGGATAATTTGTCCAGTGAGAAACTAGGGCAAGGTTTGTGCTCGGCCTTGAAGCGGAATTCTGCCTTTGACTTGGAATACAGGAGTGTTTGTGACGGTGGTAACTGCAACCCTCTTGGCACAGATGTCGGGTTTCTACCCAAGGCCATGCGCTTCACGATGATTCAATGTTCGGAGCAGGGTAAGATGCAATTGTTATTGAAGTTTCAAAATGTCACCAATGTCTATTATGGCTATTATACTTTTGATCCTAGCACTACCCTAATCGGTGAAGGAGAATGGGATTCGCAGGCCAATAGGTGGTGTGCTGTTGCTTGCCGAATCTTGAACTTTTCAACATCTTTGACTGATGCTTTTGCGGGATATTGCTCGATAAAGTTGTGCTGGAGATTCCCTGCCACTTTTTCCGTTATAAACAGGCATCCAGTTCTAGGACGGATGTGGAGCAATGAAACTGTAAAGGATTTCGGTTATTTTGATAAGATAAAATTTTGGGGTCACAGTGATGCATTACCAGGTGTCAAGTACGAGTATGGAGTGATGGGGAGTGTTAGGAAACCTTGTGAGATAAAGACTGGGAAGCATAAGGGAAAGAGATATCCGAATTCGTACTCATCGGATATGAGATTTGACATGTCAATCAAGAATAAGATGGGGCAGACAGCGCTTGGTTATTCTTCTCCACTATTTGTGGGCGATAGACGTGTCGATTTACCCTTTCATCTTTATGATGACAGTTACATGCTTAAAGCAAATCGAACAGAGAATGCAGTTCAGCTGGACAGCAGCCACAGTCCCTTGCAGAACATCAGTTACACGATGCGCTTCACCCCTTCAGTTACTTTTGAGCTAGGTCGTGAAAATCTTTCATCCAAAGCAGTTGATATTTTTGCAGAAGGAACATATAATAGAGAAACGGGTCTTTTGTGCATGATGGGCTGTCGCTACGTCGCTCAAAGTGGGGCGGAAGTGTATAAAAATGGCTCTATGGACTGTGAGATTCAGATCAACATCCAGCTCCATCCATTGACTGGGAAAGCAACTGAGAAAATCAAGGGGACTATCGAAAGCACTCGAGTGAAATCAGATCCTCTTTACTTTGATTCACTGGAGCTGGCTTCAAGTTCAATGTATGTTGAACAAGCCGATGAGTCCATTTTGAGGATGGACTTGGAGATCGTGATGGCTCTTGTTTCTAATACTCTTGTGTGTGTTTTTGTGGGCTTACAGCTTTTCCACGTGAAAAAGCAACCAGAGGTGCTTCCTTTCATTTCCATCACAATGCTGTTTGTTCTTACACTGGGACATATGATTCCTCTCCTGTTAAACTTCGAAGCTCTCGTAACAAACCATAATAGGCAGAGCTTTTTTCTTGGGAGTGGTGGGTGGGTTGAAGTCAATGAAGTAATTGTAAGGGTGGTTACTATGGTAGCTTTCCTTTTGGAGCTTTATCTTCTCCACATGACTTGGTCCGCAAGACATGGCGATGACAGCCCAAAGGGCTTGTGGGTGTCTGAGAAAAAGGTCATCTTTGTATCTCTACCAATGTATATCAGTGGTGGGTTGATAGCTTGGTTCGTTCACCAATGGAGGAATTCTCACAGAAGTCCTTTCCTACGGCAAGGCCGTCTTGGTTTAATGCTGCCTCCGAATCAGCTTGCGAGGTATCAGCAACTTTCATTTTGGGGGGACCTTAAATCTTACGCGGGCTTGATCCTGGATGGTTTTCTACTCCCTCAGCTCCTATTCAACTTATTCTTCGACTCTTCTGTAGAAGCATTATCTCGTTCTTATTATGTCGGGACCACCATAGTCCGTTTAGTACCCCATGCTTATGATCTTTACAGGGCTCACAGTTCTGCCTGGAACCTTGATCTGTCTTATATATATGCAAACCATAGAATGGATTTTTATTCAACTGCCTGGGACATTATCATTCCTTTCGGTGGTTTGCTGTTTGCTGTTTTCATCTACCTACAGCAGCGATTTGGAGGCCGGTGTATTCTTCCCAAGAGGTTTAGAGGGACTCCTGTATATGAGAAAGTGCCCACAGTAGGCACTATTGAATTATGACATGAAGCATTACATTGATAGAACTTCAGTTTTCACTGATACAAGAAGTTTTCCTTGTTTTTTCCTTCATCCCTACGAGTCTAATGAGATAAATCTGAACCTGTCTTGTTTGATTTAATCTGCTCTCATGTTAGTGGCATTGCCATATCCATTGCCCTAGGGTTAATGTCTGTCTTGTCATCTCATAGGGTGAAGCCTTATGTCGCGCTAAACAATTTATCCGCAAAGGAAATTTGTGCAGTTAGCCTTCGTTATTAGTCCCTTCTTCTTTCGTTTTCATATGGCGATGACAGTTCCACAATCAAAATACAAAGTGATTGGCCCTTTCGACAATGTTAATAACTCGTAAAATATCTTTACCAACAACCAAAGCGGTAAGAAATTAGAATTTCATGTATGATAATGTATCTCATGACTGAATTATTTCTTAAAAGACCAAGTAACAATAACACCATTGTTGTGAATAGCTTACCTCCAGTTGACAAGAACTCATTAGTATCATTGTGAAATCACAGCACAAAGCATGATGTGCACGAATGACGTAGTGAATGAGTTGAAACATCCTCTGGGCTCACCATTATCACTAATTTGGATGGCCATTTTGCTTTCATGGGAGCTTTATCACACCAAGAGAAATTCGTTTCCACATGATGTGACTTTCATATTTAGCATTTTATAAAGTCCATTTCAAAATGATTGCGTGGGATTTCTTTTCCTACAAACACATGGAACACATGTATGGGTCGTCTTCGAGGTTAGGAAAGAAAAGACGTAGAGCATTCAAGCATAAAGACACACTTTGCCGGCAGATACGAAGAACGTCCAATGAATGACTTGCGCCAGTATACTAATGCCAACGTTGCAAATGACAAGAATTGGCATTTGGTAATGTTTGATTTAAGGGGCACATCACATTTCATTACATGCCATCAGAAGCAAAGGCATGTAATCCCATTTCTGCTCCGGAGTTTCTCTTCTTAGATTCCCTGGTGAACAAATCAATACCTCCCTTTTTCTTGTGAAATATTATAACTCATGGCAATCTTTTAAATTAGCGCAAAAATTGTGAATTATGAAGTAGCAACAGAAGCAGAATGTACCTGAACCGTCAATCCGTGTCAATTTCTCATTAGAACAAAAATGTGCAAAATCTCATCTATACAGTACATGTTAACAAATGCAAAAGTTCAGAAATTCTTTTAACCTCAGGTATTGTATCTTTTGGCACATAGTGTACAAAAACCCTATCTAACTTACTCCATGCGATGTCATTCGGAGAAGCATTGCCAAGCAATTGCAATCCCAGCCACCAATATGATTTTTAGTATGAGTTTTAAACTAATAAAAGATGATGACCTCGCTGATGACTGGGACGTTACCACTGGTTTTCTTCCAAGCTTGGCAGACAGCTTATAAAGCAGACGAGACAGTGGACTGGACCTCTTGTCTGCAAGTTGAACATTCATGACAAAAGGTTGGAAAGATATCAGAATCTGAATAGGCTAAATAAAAAAATTGCCGATCATGAGCCTTTCCATCAAATGGCATGCTGAATAAAATGAATGAAAGACCATTGTAGGCAAAGGTGGATATAATGCTGCCTTTGCAGGTAAAACTTATAAAGCTAACGATAAGGTAGTACGTTCATGAAAGTTTGTCTTCAACACAAAAAAAAGTAGGTTTATCGCAGTGAAAACAATCTCAGGTTTGTCGCTGTCAATACAATCTCAGGTGCTTGATATTTCTCCATGATGGACTAATGAGGCAAATAAGGTGCTTCACATATATACAAAGCTGCAAAGATGGAGATGAAAAGTTTTCTAACAGTCCATCACTCATTGAAAAGAGAAAGGAAAGACTACATTTTGGACTGCTAAAACAACTTCAATAGCAGGCATTGCTCTAGGTATATATTAAGATTCTTTACAAGATGAACAGACAGACACATGAATACTGAAATGGGAAATGCAAACCAGAATTTTCATAGTGATTACATGGTCTATCCTCATACTATCATGGTACTGGAAAAATGTCAAACTTCAAGAGTGGTGATGAAAGCAAAGACCACCTCAAATCCAGAAAAGTTTATTATCGATAATTGACTATATCATCCATCAAGTCGTCAAACCAATGACACCAATGTCAAGAAAAAGTACCTTTGCTTTTGAGAAATCTTTCCTCCTCATCGACACGTCTACGAAGCACGTTAAGCAGAGACCCAAAATATAATGCAAATACGGTGCATGTAATAGTGATCACATTGTAAGGCATGCTGAAATCAGGAGTTGTCAGAGGAACTAGCAATACTTCTGTGTAAGATCGAACAGGAATGCTGTCCTGTAAAAGTAAACAAACAATTCACAAGAAGCAATGAGTATGTTCTTTCCTTCACTCAGTACTAATATAAAAACAACAAACAGCCTTTTAGTACCTGAAACCTAGACAATACCGCCGACCTGTTTGATGTGTTATCTTCATCAAAATGCATTTTCACGTGAAAGTTAGGAAATGTTATTACAGCTGGGGGGATGTCAAATCCCTGATTAGCATCTGGAGGATATTCATCAATGTGCAGAAATCCCTAGATCAATACAAGAAGCAGAACAATAAGAATCTGACGTTGGAGAAACATAATTAAAGCCGGTGAAAATCAGCAACGTATGACCAGCCCAACTTGGAATGCTGTATTGTATCTTTTTGGGAACCACTGAAAATCCTGATATGATAAAAAACCATTTTTGCAAAAGCACAGTCCATTCATGCCACAACCAAAGATAACAATAGAGAAGAAGCCAATAACTAAGCAAAAGCCAGTGGCCTAACATCTTAGGATAATACAATATAGAATTCCAGTGCAGGTCCAACTCTTGCACCTTCTGATATAAGAGATATTACAGTTCAACAATGCAAATAGTGGTGGATATCTCTCTACTATGTCTTTAACTTGGAAAGCTTGTCATTCTGTTGCTCCATTCCTTATCATCCTAAAAGGCATTTGATGGAAAAAAAATTCATGCTATTATGTTTCTTTTGGGAATATAGTCTCAGCATAGATCAAGTATGGTCACTCACATCATCATCACCTCCTCTTTTGAAGGTGACGTGATACCATTAATTAATGGAGCATCTCTTATGGATGCTAGAGAGATAAAAATGTCCAGATGTTGAAGAGAACCCCTAGAGATTAAATAAGATCGTGTTTCGCTCTTAATTGTGGCTTTAAAGCTTTCACTTATGGCTATTATTGCATCTATCACTGCAGGTTGTAACTTAGACGTTTTAGTTCTTATATCTTATAAAAATGGTGTAAAATGGTGTAAGGAAGACTATAATCCAACATAGATTTCATGTTCTTGATTATTTGGAACAACTTTTGAGATTCTGCATATATTTTTAACAACACCAACCAAGAATGAACTCACTGTGCTAATACTACGTGAAAATTTATGAATCATTACCACCATTTGTTAATGCAACACCTATCGCTAGCGTTCTGCTCAAGTGAGCACTAAATAATCTAACGGAACTTTCATCTGTGACAAGGTACTTGAAAACTGACAAGACCAAGATGTTAAAGCAAACCTTGTCAAACTCCAAAGTGAAAGCAGCAGAGTCTACACCACAGGGCAATTTCAGAATCATCTCCAACACCCCTGGAGATACTTTGTCTTCTGAGGGTGAAACATGTATCTTCTCAATGATATCTGAAACCGCTATAGGCTTTCCATCCACAAACACTTTCATTGTATGATAGTAGACCTTGATATACCAAGGCACAACTTGGAAAACATTTACATCCACTTTACAACTCTCTCCCATGGATTTGGCATTTGTTAATCCCTCCCCCGCTCTCGTTGATCTCAAGGAGATAGCAATAGCACCTCTTTCATTCCCACTTCCCATTAAGAATCGACTGACACGTAAAGGCAGTTGTGGGCATGACCAGATTAATGGAGTCTTCCAAGTAAAGCCAAGATCAAAAGGTCCTAAATCACTGTGCTTCCTGACTGAAAATTCATACAAAATTGCTGACCCTTCACTATGTGAATCAACTTCATTAATGACCTTATCTGGCTCATCAGATAATGCAAAGGCAGGATTACTGAGAAGCCTTTCTTCCATTATACTTTCAACCCCAAGTTCCTGATTTCCTTCTTGCAGATGTTTTAGTTCTCTCACCAGACCCCAATCAAGTTGGAGATAAACATTAGAAGACTTGGCAAGAACACACGTCCCACTGATTTTCCTCCCAAAAAGTGAACTCATAGACCAGCTCGGTTGTAATTTAGTTTCCTTAGAGTTCATTGTACTCTTTTTCTGAATGTTAGGATGAAGAACAACTGTAAGAGTCTGTTCAAGTATGATGCTTGAGTGAGTTCCATCAGAACTAGTCTTAACTGACCTCAATCTCAACCTTTGAGAATGATAAAATCCTCTATAGATAGATGGTCTGTCCATCAACAAAGATATTCCAGCTTTATCACGGCAAGGAAGGAGCTTTAACCATGGAGTTAAGTTTTCAGTACAAACAGCCTCACGAGGAAGTGTGCCATACCTCAGGCTTCCTGGAGCAGGCCTGAAGCTCCATTTAGGCGCGGCATACGCTGTTGAAGATTCAAGAAAGTTGATGGACGCACAGAAAAGTCCTGAAAGACTATGGGTTAAATTCTTCCAGGAAGCATCAACATCATTTGGAGGGACATCAAAGACAGCCCATAATTCAACCCCAGGTGGCTTCGCATTGCTGCTTGCTATTGGTTCAAATCCACCCCAACTTTCATAATTCCACCGACCTTGTGTAAAAGACAACTCCATTTCTTTAATGTGGAATTTCTTGACCTGTCATAACAGTACCAATCCATAAGTTATTCTCGCAGTGTTGACCAAAGAGCAGTTTCTTTGGAGAGTGTTTCAGAATAGGGATGTTGAATGTAATCGTATTAACACTGTAAATAGCTCAAACGGATTCACCACTATGATAGTTTACTAGAGTACATCTATTGAGGACATAAAATGAGATTTCACTCGCTATTTGAGATCAGAAATGCAATAGAATAAATATCACATTAAAGCTAAATTAAGTAAAAAGAATATCCCAATCAGATTTAATTCCTTCCCGCTGCCATGAGCTAGCCTATCAACTCAGCACCGATAGATCATGTCCCTCTGGCATGAGAACTAAGGGTGAGCACTGAAACCTTGGAGCCGAGACTCTCGGAAAGACTTGCATGAGTTGGTCCCAAGGATCTAATAGAATAAGATAGGGTCCAATTCATAATATCTGAACTTGCTCAAACAAGCTCAGGTTCTAAAATATGATCTACACCACCAGCACTATCAGGAATGAGGACATCTAGGGTACCCACTCAAACCGATATCGCACATAGAGAGACAATTCCAAATCTCTCTTCATATCTGTACTCTTTCGTGTGTAAGGCTCGTAAATACCTGCTACTGCTTTCAAAATTTTATAAAACCAGCCCAAAATCCCACAGTCTAGATAGCCTATCCACCTGGAACCCCTCATCCCTAATACAACTCGTCACCAAAATGAAAAATCATGTTTCTAACAAGAGTATGTAATTTCTCCTCGCATACAACAACAAATTCAATTCAATGCCCCCATATAGCAATTTCTAAAATACAGCAAAAGCAACGGATTTCCAAATGCTCCTCCCTCCAGAAAATTCGATTTCGTCAACGAGCCTTAAAAAGTAACAAAATAATGGAAACATTATAGTTTTCAAGACAAGGACATCATAGTTTTCAAGACAAGGACTTTTAGCACAATGAATGCAATCAAGATCAGGGTTTCTTTGCAAATCAAAGCATTCCTTATCGAGAATGCTTAAGGAACAAGCTCCCGGAGGCCCCTCGTTAACTCAGCAAAGGAAGAAAAAAACGAAGAAGAGTCAGCTTCCAGCACCTGCAAAGGTCCCAAACCCACCAAACGCGGACAGCATTCGCAAGTGGGCAACGGCAGATCAACAAACACCAAAACGAGAGAACCACACGCGCGGGGACGGGGCGCAGAGAGAGAGAGAGGGGATCGAGAGGGGGGCGTATTACGAGCTGAGCGATGGCTTTGGGGAAGAGGCGGTGGTGGCGGCCGTAGGAGGGAGCTTCGGGAGCTCGGGTCTCGAAGTGGAAGTGGGCCAGCACCCTGCGATCGGGCAGCGGCTTCAGCAGCAGCTCCTCCGAGAAATCTTCTCCTCCTCCTCCTCCTCCTCCTTCTTGGGTGGCCGCCGATCCAGAAGCGAACGCGACGGAGGGGAAGCCATGCGAGGAGAGGAGGAGGAGGAGGAGAGAGAAGATGGGTCTCAAGAGAAACGCCATTTTCAGGTCCCCCCAGAGAAAGGGAGAGGTGTTCGGCTGCGAGATTCAGCGAGGGGAGAGCTCCATTGGAGGCGAGCCCGTCGGAGGAACTTCGCTCCTCAGATTTTTCACTTTGTTTCGCCGCTTCGGTACTCTTTCCTTGGTTTTTTCCCTTTTCAAAAGAAAATTGTACGTAATTACTATCTTGAAAATCATCACAATTTACGAATTCGTTTGTTTCGCAAGAAATGAGTGATTTGAAAAATATATTTTGAAAAATGATTGCTTATATCGTTTAAAAAAATAAATAAATAAATAATTTATAGCCTACGAAATTAATTAAGCATAAATTGTTATCGATGATGAAAATATATTTCATTGACTAATTTTTCTAAACGATAAGAATAATTATTTTTCGGAAAATATTTTTTAAATTACTTATTTTTCGCGAAATGAACGTGCCTACGGCTGAAATATATATAGTGTTGGTTCATTTTTGTAAGTTATGTTTTAGGAAAATATTTTCCGGATCATTTGTTTTTCGCAAAATAAACAGAATAAGGCTCTCACCCTATTTCTAACCTCTCAAATATTTGCTTTGCATTTTTATGCTCTTATTGGCTTGAGGCATCTTTACAAGCTGAGTAGAAAATTCATAAGAGAGGAAAGATCTCCGCGTAGAAAAGAAATGAGAAATCATTTTGATTAGAGCCACATCCTTTTTAATTTCTTTGAGTAAACACAAAAAAAATTTCTCATTATTGTTGGTTATGATTAAACCCGTCAAAATAAGTTATAAATTCATTTATTAATTCAAATTTGTTGAAATGGGTCATATATATATATATCACTTCATTTTTGACAAACCTAGCCATGATGGGTCAATAACTGAAAAAGTCCAGAAGAAATGGGTTTAGAATGGGTAGACGTTACATCCCATTTCCAAGACCTCTCTGAGTCTTCCATCCTACGGATATGACTCACAAGCTTATCCCTCCTCTTGGTCCCAACTAACCGGCATCGCTGTCGCCCCACCATATCTCCGGTGGCCCTCCGAGGAGCGGAACGTCTCCGAGGACGAATGCTGCTTCGGCCTCGAGAACTTTGGCAACACTTGCGTTTTGTAGGTTCTCATCTCTCTCGATTTGATGGTCATCGCTTCGGATCGAGCGGAAGCCCCCATTACTACTAGAGTGAGCTCTCACAGTGGAGGAGAGTGAGAGACTGAGAGTGCAGCAATAGCGCTGGTGATTTGTGGGGCTGTAAAGAGAGATCAGATCGAAGAGAAGAAGAGAGAGAGATAAGGGGGTGGTGATGATGACATTACTCTGTTCCCTCAAAGTTCCAACATTATTGACACTTTGAAGTCTTGAACACGTCTAGAGAAATAGAAAGAAGGCCGCAAGAAATGTATCTGCTGGTTCTTCTTACATAAAATCATTCATCTAAATAATGCTCCTTTTCAAGTTATCAAACACAGTATATTACATTTATTGCCGAAAATTTTATATTCATGACGTCATCAAACCGAGAGTGTGTGAGTCATTCGTATCGTATACGGGATACTTACACAAATGGTCCCTGAATTTTAGCCAAATGTGCAATGTGATCCCTGAACTTAATACCAATGTGCAATGTGACGCGTGAACTTTTTAATTTGTTCAATGTGATCCATGAACTTTTGGTAAATATTCAATCTAGTCCCTAAACTATATGATAATGTCCAGTTTTATCCTTCAATTATTTCATATTTAGGGATAATATTGAACATTTTCGTATAGTTCAGGGACTAGATTAAACATTTATGAAAGGTTCGGGGATTACATTGTACAAATTAAAAGTTTGAGAATAACATTGCAAATCGGGCTAAAGTTCATGAACCACATTGAACAAATTAAAAATTAACGGACGAAATTGCACATTATACCAAAGCTCATGAACCATTCGTGCCATTTTCCTTTCTTATACAGACCCTGGACATAATAAAATGTTAGAATAATTTTCATGGAAAAATCGTATTTTTCTAATGCTACATACAACATTTGAGCACCCCTTGTCTTGTCATAACCATCACCAATTCGTTGCTCTCTGTTCCCGCCAAGCTTGGCTCCTTACTTCTTTCCAAATGGGTTTGACTTCACTTTGGTCAGACGAGAAAACCAAAAACCATTTGAGGCCACTGCAAAAATGGTCGGCCTTCACAATCTTGTTTTGATGGTCATCATCATCATCTTCGTCCCCGTTTTTGCCTAGTCTTCGACGATCTCGCCCTCAGACTTTCGAATCCATTACCACAAACATCGTCACCGCATTGTAGTCCCATACCCATCAATTGAATCCTATCCACCAAATGAACACGTTTTGACTCCTTTAAATGAGCATGGTCTATCCTTAAAAAATGGTGCGGACCACATCACCAGAAGTCTAAACATGAGCACGATCCATCCTTAAAATGGTGAAACCGGAGCTTGTCTCTAACAACGATTTCCCTGTTGGCGACAACTGAAACACACTTAAATGCCAAGTGACAGTCTTCACACATACGTAGATTTTTTACAATCGTAATGGTCATGCCGTTGCTACTTTTCAATAGTCCAAATGCTACAGCAAGCTTCTCGCTATGAAATCTAAGTGCATATTCCCTTTCCTCCCCCTCTAACTCATGCATCAATGAATCGGCTAATGGCATATAACCAGCCTGTGTACATCTCAACATCAACTCATCCAAATACTCATATATAATATTTGTTTCAGGATGAGACTTGTCACCCATGCTAAACATATATGTCTTTCCATCAACTTCTATATTGCTATAACCTACTTGCTTTTTCAGCCCTCTCTGTATCATCATGTTTCTAACTCTTTGCACTCTATCACTCCGACCAGCCAAGGCATATATGTTAGAAAGCATGACATAGTGGCCTGGATTATCCGGTTCACTATCTAAGAGATGCTCAGCAACTTTCACTCCCAAATCAAAATTCTTATGCATCTTGCAAGCCCCAAGCATAGCAGTCCACACAGCCGGTGGAGCCTCCCTAGGAATTTTTTCTTCAACGAATCTGTAAGCTTCGTCAAGAAATCCCGCTCGCCCTAGCATATCAACCATGCATACATAGTGTTCTAGTCCTGGCTCTACATCATATTCTCGTTTCATGCTTGCAAATACATGACGCCCCACGTCAACAAGCCCAGCATGAGCACATGCAGAGAGAACCGCCACGAAAGTGACTTTGTTGGGCCATGGACCTCGGAGTTGCATTTGGTCAAATAGCTCGACTGCTTGGTTTCCATATCCATTCGTTGCATATGCAGATATCATAGCCGTCCAAGCAATAACATTTCTTTCCCTCATCAAATCAAAAACTTCTCTCGACTTGCTAACATTTCCACACCTAGCATACATATTGATCAACGAAGTGCCTAACACAACATTCAAATCAAACCCACCGTCCATAACATACTCATGCACCCAACTACCCAAACTCAATGCTCCCAACTGTGCACAAGCAGCCAAAACGCTCACAAACGTAGCCGAATCCGGCTCAATACCACATTCCCTCATCAGATCAAACAATTCAATAGCCTCCTTGGCAGACCCATTCTGCTCATACCCGGAAATCATCGAATTCCATGCAACAACCGTTCGATCCCTCATTTTATCGAACACCTCGCGGGCAACGTTCAAATCGCCTGACTTTGCATAAAAAGTGACTAAAGCCGACTGAACGTAAGGATCCGACCCAAACCCACAAGCCAAAGCATGGCCATGAACGCCTCTACCGAGCCTCAAAGCTGCCAAGTCCGCGCAGGCCTTAATCACGGACGTGAAAGTGTAATTACTGGGAGGAATGTCTGCGAGCAGCAAGCAGCGATAGAACGCGACCGCATCGCGGGGGAAGCCGAACTTGGAGCAGGACTTGATGAGGGAATTGAAGAGGAACGAGTCAGGCCCGGGCACCGTGACGAAAACCTGGCGTGCATAACCAATTGCGCCGGCGGCGCAAGCGAGGTTGATGAGCTTGGTGAGGAGGGATAGAGAGCGGTGTGATCCGGAGACGACGACGTGGGCGTGAGCTTGTCGGAGAAGGTGGAGACGAGGGCCTGCTCGGAGAAGGGCTTGGTGAGCTGTAGAGGGCGGTGGCGGCGCCGGCGGCGGCGGCGGCGGCGGCGGTAGTAGGAGGTGAACTTCTTCTCTGGCTTCCATTGAAGACGGCAGAGGAGGGAAAGCTACAAGGCCAGTAGGTGTTTAAAATAGTCTAAAACGGCATGTCGTCTTGGCGGTGAGAGTAGAATATTCAAGATTAATCATTAGGAATGTGAAGAGGAAAGGTAATATGGAACAATGCTTACAATATTTCCAAAAGCAAATCAGACATGAGGAAAACTTGTCTACTAGGCAATGTTTCTACAATCGGGTTAGTCGATCAACGGGTTTTTGGCCAAAAAAAAATAAAAGGAAAGGACCACGGATTGAATTAATTAAATGGATAACAATCATTAATCTGACTTGATCCCGAAACGGTTCATAAAGCATTGATACTGGGCCTGTTCGATTATTTATAATGGTCACGGGTGGTTGAGAATCAATAATGGATGGAAGTAATTTGATTGATTTACTCAAGTGACAAGATGCTCGAGCTAAACGAGACAGATAATGTGTCCCTAGAGTACCCTTTGTCGGCTCTTGGGACATCTAATAAGGGGAAGCTGGCCTTGTATTCTGGCTCACAACGCGCCGCACGAGCTTGTCTTTAGTTTAGGAAAGTCTCAGCCGGCGACACATGGGTGTCCAGCTATTTGGCAGGAAAACTGTTAATTTGGATTTGTGTAGCATTACAATTCGCATGCAAGGAAGAACTTGGATAGTCTAAGCGAAAAGCAATTACCATATTCCTTTCACTCATTAAACTAGGGATAGTACACACTCTTTTAGTTCCACAATCCTGTACTAGTTGCTGTATGTTACGGGGTCCATCATACTCTAACTTTCTCTTATTAATTTCCTCTGTATGACCACGAGAAAGATTCATAAAAGCTACATTTTACACTAAAATATATATACACGGAAAGATGATACAAATCGAGCATGATAATCGAGCTTTGAGATCTGAGTGCCCCTGCTTCTTCATTGCAGCAGTAGGGAAGCTTCTATCTCTCATGCAACTCTCAGAGCGACCATAATCGAAGTGTACATCCGAAGAAAGAAGATGAAGCCCCGCTTCTTCTTGATACGATTCAGGACGTCGTGAACCCTTTGTCATGCATAAATTAAAGTGCTTGCTGCTCCAGCCATTGCCATTTTCCTGATGCTTGGATACAGAAGAGCGGTTGCCGAGAACTTCTAGTACATATAGACATGATCATCGTACATATGGGTTGTCATGTTCAATGACTGGACCATCGCTTCTCCTCTTTTGTTGAAGCTAAATACAGAAATCCCACCATTATTAATATCTGTCGCTCGGAACCTGAAAAGGCAGGAAAAGAAAGTCAAATAGATATTGCAAAGAAAATCTGGCAGTTGTAGAATGACATCCATGAGTTTCATAGACTTTTGATGAAGAGTGAGTCAAGGCTATTGCCATTTGCATAAAGAAATGTAAAACCATCCTTGGATCTTCAGCAGATATACAAGAATGGTCGAGGTAACAATTCTCGGGAAAAATTCAATCATGGGCATCCCTTTTGGACTTTTCATGATGAACATAAAATCTAACAACATTTTTTAAAGAACAATCCAAGAACTGCTTAATAATCATAATTCTGCAAATACCTCTCTGGCGCTAGACCAAGAGCTACACATATCAGTGCCCTCAACATTGATTTGTGGGTCACAACCAGAAAATCTTTCCCCTGGCAAAACAGAAATGGAGGAAGATGAGTGCCATTGCAACTTCTCGACAATAAAATATCTCATAATGAGTAGAAAACTAACAGGTGATAGCAAGATCTCCTTCCAAGCCTCTCTCGCTGTCTCCCACAATTTCCTTACAGGGTAAACACCATTCACGCAAAAGTTTGACGGATCCTCCCTCCATGTTATATACTCCTTCGGATACATCTCCCGAGCATCAACTGCCTCCAAATTCTGAATTTTATTTAGCATGCAGATATATAATAAAAGGAAAAGGTGAAATTTATAAGTGGAAAGGAACTATATGGCTTGATGAACTTAAAATTTGAATGCTTCAAGAACTTAGCACAGAAAAAGCAGTGAAAAGAACAACAAACTTAACCTTTTCTTGATGTACTCTTCAAGCACAGAAAAAGCAGTGAAAAGCATAACAAATTCATTCCGATGGCAGCTAACTTAGGAAGCATTATTGAGATTTGAGGCGCCTGAATCAGAAGAAGACGAGAACTGACCATTTTTCATTCCTTCAAGGAAAAATAGATGGGCCTCCTTCAGTGAATCCAGGAAAATCAATGGCTCTTCCCTTCCTTGCCATAGGACTTCCGCAGTAGTCTGCATTAACACTCAAAACTGATTGCTGATAAAAGGATGACTAAGTAACTAGTTTGAACTTCTTGATTATCATTTTCAAACCTTCGCACGGGATATTGGACTTGAGAAACACTGATCAAAGTGCATTTCTGACAAGGCTTGCCTGCACCTCTCAGCTTGCTTTACCCCAGTTTCTGTTAGCACAGAAAGATTTGAGCTTCCCTATGTTTCACATATGAAAAGATTAGTAGCTGAAGATTCACTCTAAAATCATCACAAGTGAAGAAAATATACAATAAAATGACAAGATTTGTCAGGTCACAAACAATCCAAGCAATAGGAAGTGAACTTTTTTTCCTAGTAAAAAGTCAATTAACTTAATCAGATAACAGACAAACCTGGACTCTGCTTTCTTCATTCCAAGAGCTGAGGCCATGCCTAACAAGAGTGACCTTCTTTGACGAATCCAGCATTTTTCCAGTAAGTGATGTTGTTGCTCTGGAAAAGTCATACGCACCACCAGTCACGGCAGCACCATTTTCGAGTCTCTCTGTGGCGGAGGTGTCGGTTAAGTTACAACCAACTTGAGTTTAAATGGCCATCTAAAAGTATTCAGCAAGATTGCTAAAGCAGATCTCTCTCGGTCGCCATTCACTTGAAGACATTCCTCAATAAAAGGTGCTTTCTCACTAAAGTTATAATCAAAGCCGATGCATCGCCAAGCCATATACTTTCATGGTTTCTTTTACCAAATTAGAGTGATGATAAAAACCTATGACTTCGACTTCGACTAAGCATCAAGAGTTTCTCTCTCTTTTTTTCTTTAATGAAACATAAGATCAGACATCAAATGTATTGCAGGAATTACAGTACAATGGCGCTCTATAAGCTCTTCCCGCATAACTCTCCCAACAAATCACACTTCACCAACCAGTTTGCATATAAACCTCACTTGCTTTGCATCTCACGGTGCTTGTGCTTTGTCTAGCACTAGTTTTACATCAGAGGAATGTGGTTTCGCAAATCAGTCACTCCATGTCTACCCTACTCTCTACACATAACAACTCGGCACATTCAGAAACACGTGGAAGAAGAAGAGGAAGAAGAAGAGTCGTCACCCTCGGATAGAGGCAGCGCGGGGCTTGCGTCGCATCGCACCGCCGGAACAGCCGCAGCCCTACGGCGGCGGTGGAGCTCCGGTGGCCTCTCGACGCTGACCGCGAACCTCGACGACCTCGAGGAGGTCGCGAATGGAGGGCTCGTAAGGGCGGTGATGACTCCCGAAACCATCTTCTCCGGCGACGAACGTCTTCTTCGATCGACAACTTTCGATGCAGTCGGGAGAACCCCGAGATGCCTTGAGCGACGTGGGTCGTCTGCGTTCCGGACAACAAATGTTATCCTCACAAGTCCGAGACTTTGTGTCGTGGATATGCTCCGCCAGATGCTCGTGCTGGTGAGATTTTTATGACGTCCTGCTCAGTGCTCTAGCAAGACGGGCGTGGTCCCGTTGCTAATGAGAAACTCGTCGTTAGCAATTCCTAAGCTTTTGGAATTTGTCTCATTAGATACTTTCTTTTCGCCAATTGAGTCTTTATATCAATTTTTTTTATGGAAAATAACATAAATAGTTTATGAACTTTGACCTAATGTGCAATTTCATCTTTAAAATTTTGATTATGCAATGTTATCTCGGAACTTTTAATTTGTTCAATGTTATCCCTGGACTTTTGATAGATGTCCAATATGATTCCTGAATTATATGAAAATATTTAATATAATTCGTGAATTATATGGTAGATGGCAATGAATTTGACTCAATTGAAGGATAATATTGGGTATTTTCATATAGTGTAGGGATTAAATTGAATCTTTGTTACTGAATATATAACTGGCATATCGACATATGATAAGAGCTTATTGGACTAATTGGAAATAATATGGATTTTTGTAGTGCTCGTGATGATGACAATGATCAAAATACCCTCGTAGAAATAGAGAGAGAAGAGGGAGGGGAAGTGGGGCGTCGCCGGTCAGGCATGGCTATCCAAGGACCACCGACATGGCCGGCCTTCCACGTCACCGGCCTTTCGATTCAGAGAGAAAGTGCAACTTATTCATTCGCAAACGCACTTAAAGTTTGCGGTGGAAAGAGTCACTTTGGAGAAGCATGCTTCCAGCGATGAGGGTATCGAATGTCCGACGAGAAGTGAAGGGGTACTTTGAGACGGTTTTATGCGGGATAGGAGGCAATTTGAGAAAGGGAAAAAGCCATAAAAAAATTTTCAAACTATGTCCATTGTGACACATTTATCCTAAACTTTTATCTGTGATAAAAAAATTTCAAATTTGTACATGTGTGATACATTTTTTCCTATCAAGGTTCTGTCAATAAACACCGTTAAAATCTGTCTATATGAAAGTCGAAAAAAAAAAAAGGTATTGACACGGCATCCATATGGTTTGAATGAAATAAAAACAAAGTTGTTTTTTTTTTCTAAAAAATCATCTTACGAAACATTGGCAAATGGTAAATATATCACATAAATACAATTTAAGTTTTTATGTCATAAGAAAAAGTTTAGGATAAATGTGTTATAGTGAAAATACTTTGATATTTTTGATGTCACAAAAAAAGTTTAAGGTAAATGTTTCATAGTGGGTATAATTTAGAATTTTTTTTATGGCTTTTTCCCTTTGAGAAACCTCATTAAGAGAGAACCTTGAGAATTTGGTCAATATCGGAAATATATGAAAATTTCCTTCAATTATCTCTCTCTTTGTAGAGAGTTTATTCAAGAAATTCAAAACGGTCAATCAAAGAAAGCCAAGTTCATCTACCAAGAAGAAAACAAGCCAAATCGCTAGGCTTCTTTGGATCCGTTTATTTCTCTAGAAAACTTTTTGCCAGAAATATTTTTCTCATTATCCTGGAATTTGCATCACTTAGAAAAATGAGTTAAAGAAAATCTTTTCACAGCCAATGGAAAACGTATACTTACATTTAGGAAAATAATTTCCCTGTTAGAATAAAAAATCATTTTATAGAGTATGACTAAATCTCGACATTTGAACCAAAGACCATAGTGCTTATACACGGGGACCCTAATGTCTGTGTCCAAGTTCACAGAGCCCAAACCTAGGGCCCTAGTTGGCCCGGGTCCCCAAAGCGGCTATGTCTGGATACTTGACTCTTGTACACAGGTTACCGGCGCTTAGGCTCGATAGAGTTTAGGGCTCAAATTCATTTGGGTAGGGCTCAAGACTTTTGATGTCTACGTTCGGGTACATAAAGGTTGTGCTCCAAGTCCATAGCAACCATGCCCCGGGTACCTGAGCTCTCATCCCCAAGTCATTAGCAATCAGTCTAAGTCTGTACAAGCTATGCCTAATTCCTCAGTTGCCGGCTTCAGGTCCACAGAGACTTGGCTTAAGTCTCTCGAGGCTGGGCCGAAGACCCTAGTGGATCTATGGATCACTTTTTTCCGGGAGTTGATATTTCAAAAAAATGTCATGCATTGTTGATCCATGAGATGGTCTTGTAACAACGAAAAAAATAAATAAATGTACGTAAAATAGTTAGCATCTATCATAAGGGGAAGAAAGAAAAAAAAAATCTAGCCTATGTTACAAAACATATAAAAAGTAAACTACTTTCTTTTGTTTTATTAAGTTGCTTGTTTCAATTGTACGGAAAAACAAATGCGGATGGAACATCATAAGAGCCAACAAGTAAGTATATTACGACAGTTCGCGATAAAACTTCATTTAAAATCTGATAATAATGTATTTTTTTAGAAAAAAAATCAGTTTTCCTTCCCAATCCACTAAAAATAATTTTTACTTTATTTTCAGATTTCAACGAAATATCGAAAAATACAAGTAATTTTTTCTTGAAAAAATAATTTTAATTGGAAATTTCTTTTTAAAAAAATGTTGGATAATTCACGACCGCCCTTCCTAGAATAGTTGACCTCCTCCTGTCCGTCTCTCCCCCAGGCGCCGCGCCCTCTATAAATACCCCCTCACCCCCTTCGTTCGTCACTTTTGGAGGCTCAGAGATCTCTCGCTGAGCACGATCCCCAGCGAGCGCTGAGCTGCGAAGAAACTCTTACCCCACAAGAATCGAACTTCACTCTTGAACTCGAACCGTTAACGCGAAAGCTCCAACCCGAAGCGCTTCCAAAAAAATCCGAAGGCGATTTAGGGTTCCGAGCTCGCGGCACCATGGAGGACGAGCAGGAGTACGATCCGGCGTACGGCATGGAGGACGAGGACGACGACGAGATCACGCAGGAGGACGCCTGGGCCGTCATCTCGGCCTACTTCGAGGACAAGGGCCTGGTGCGGCAGCAGCTCGACTCCTTCGACGAGTTCATCCAGAACACGATGCAGGAGATCGTGGACGAGTCCGCCGACATCGAGATTCGGCCCGAGTCGCAGCACAACCCCGGCCACCAGCCCGATTTCGCCGAGGTCCAGTTTTTTCCCGGTCGTCGGAGAAAGCTCGTTTTGTTCCGTTCGGATTGAGGGGGAGCTTTTTTTTGGGCGTTTTTCTTGTTTCGATTCATCTGTGGGAGGGTTTTAGGCCAGTGACGGTTGGTTAGGGACGGAAGTGTTGGAGTTGTGGTTTCGGAGATGGTCTAACTCTAGGCAATTGCGCAATTCTTCGGTGAATACGGTTAGAACTATGCATATTGCATATGCTGCTCTTGATTGCAGCTTCAGTCTTGCTTTTAGAAATGCTTCAGAAACATTGCGTTGTTGAGCTTGAACGTACTTAGTTTCATAGCATCAGTTCATGGGGTTCTCTCTTAGCGCGGTAGTTTGACAGTGGTCTTCGACTGTCGAGAATTCGATGAGCCTTAGTTAAGCTTATGTTAAGAAAGGGCAAAATTTTGTTAGCGAAAGTCCTGTTGTACATGGCAGCATTCAAAAAGTGAAAACTTTAGAGGAACGAAAGGGCAAAATTTTGAATTCCTTTTTCGTTTGGGGTGTTTTTAAAGTTTATTTAGACCAAATTTAGGCAAGATTAATTTCAGGCTTATTTGTTCTCTCTTAAGTCCAAATTGGATTTGGGAAAGGATAGAGTTAATTTGATATTTGTTCAAAATTACATATGTATAATGAGTATTTCTCATGTCTTTTCATTTTTGTGGTGTAAATCCCGACATGTTACCAGTTGTTGGCAAATTTTACCTGTAGCATTTAAAATCGTGAAGTTCTTGCATATTATTCAGGTCATAGTCACAAAGCAATATTATTCACGTAAAGTGGGTCATGTCAGAGAGAATAGTCTGTCGAGTAATGTTTGAGGGATAAAGTCTACTATCTCATGTGCGAACCAAGCAAAGAAACAATGCTATGAAATTCTATTAAGAGACCCTTGTCGATTATCATTGGTGTAGTCATAGACCACTCAAATATCATTTGTCTGATTGGATCCTTCTAAGACACGGAATGCCGAAAGATATTGATCCCTTGTGTGATGGAAAAGGATGCTTTCCTCTTCTTCTGTAATATAAACGGGACACATTCGTGTAAAAGTTTAAATGGCAATGACATTGGTGGGAATAATGTCAAAGAATTGATGAGGGAGGAGAAATTTCCGAGTGGTGATATTTGACTAGTTGATGATAGGTTGAAAAATTGACTTGACAGCCTGGCTTCATGGAGTTGCTTGTTTGATTACATGTTAGTCAAGTTTGCTAACCATTAACCACTTTTGCAATTGCATATTGCTTGGCTCTTACTGCTATTTGTTGGCCTGCAGACCATATATAAAATCAACTTTGGTCAAATATACTTGAGTAAGCCGATGATGACCGAGTCAGATGGAGAAACAGCAACTTTATTTCCCAAAGCTGCAAGGTTGAGAAATCTGACATACTCAGCTCCCTTGTATGTTGATGTTTCTATGAGAGTTATAAAGAAAGGACATGATGGTGAAGAACTCACTGAACCTCAGGACTTGCAAAAAGTTTTTATTGGAAAGGTCTGTTATTTGAGTACTAGTATGGTGATATTGTATCTTGGGAAGCAGCCGACGCTAACTGTTTTGTGTCATTGATATTAGGTCCCTATAATGCTTCGATCAAGCTATTGCACATTATACCAGAATTCAGAGAAGGATTTGACTGAACTTGGAGAGTGTCCTTATGACCAAGGTGGTTATTTTATCATAAATGGAAGTGAAAAGGTTTTAATTGCTCAGGAGAAGATGAGCACCAACCATGTGTATGTGTTCAAGAAGAGGCAACCAAATAAGTACGCCTATGTGGGGGAAGTTCGGTCAATGGCGGAATCTCAAAATAGGCCACCCAGCACAATGTTTGTCCGCATGCTTTCTCGCACAAGTGCCAAAGGGGTAATGCAAATTTTCTGTTCCTTCTCTGTGTGCGCTTTCGTTTTCTGGGCATTGATCTTTCTGATTGGGGTTTGGGTC